GGCCTCCAAGAGGCCAGAGGAAAACTCCCCACCTCTGTCAGAGTGCAGACGCAGGACAGGGAAGTCGGAGCGGAAACGCTCACTGAGCTGGAGACGAGATCTGTGGATCCAAGGGATCAAGACATCAGGGACGTCACCCTTGGTGCGCAAGGGGAAGACCGTGGTGTAGCGCGAGAAGTCGTCAACAACAATCAGGAAGTACCTCTCCTGACCCTGACCACGGACGCGGGCTGGGCCCCACACGTCCATGTGGAGCGTCTGCAAAGGAGCAGTCGTCGGGGGGAAGGAGGAGGAGTGAGGAGCGGCTCGCTGCCGCCCCTCGACACAGGGAAGACAGGGAGGAGCAGGCGAGGGTGGGAGGGGAGGGAGAACCCTGGGAAGACCAGCAACAAGGTCCCGTTTGTGCATGGCCCGAAGGCGCTGCACAGACGGGTGACCAAGGCGGTGGTGCCAGAGGATAGTCTCATGCGCCAGAGAGCGACACGAGCAGGGGGCGGACAGCTGACCTGACGCAGACGCAGACGCGGACGCAGCTACCTGAGGGGACTCAGTGGTCAGTGTGTACAGGTCCGACCCCGGCTGCCGAGTGAAGGTAGCCAGGTGACGGCCCGTCCGAGCACACGTGCAGTGGGTCACGCGCTCGTAAGCAGGGGTGAACTGGTGAACACCCCCGTCCTGGAGCGCACTACCTGCCACCAAGTTCGTAGAGAACGAGGGGAGGTAGAGGCCTGACAGTGTGCCTGACGGGACCGCAGGACAAGGAAGGACAGTGGAGGAGGTCGCAACGACCGGACCCCCAGAGGGGTCAGCGAGGGAGACAGCAACTGGCCGAGCAAGCGGCTCAAGGACAGTGCGGTCACGAAAGAAACAGCGAGAAGCACCTGAGTCCAGTGTGAAGGTGTGCAGTGCTGCAGTCGACTCAGTACCAGAGGGCACGGACTCACTAGCACCTAGAGCAGCAGCCTCACCAGGACCTGGGGCAGCAGACTCACTAGCACCTAGAGCGGCAGCCGGACTGGTCAGAATGCCCGGGTCGGGCGGAACACGCAAGTACTGAGCACCCTCTCCACTAGTAAACATCGCATACATGGCAGTGAGAATAGCATCAAAGTCTAAAGCCCAGATATCAACTCCCTTCTTCTCCAGATCAGCCCAGTGGGGCAGGTCAGTGGCATCAGGAAACTGGGCACGCCACGCGTCAGTAAGGCGCGCGAAACAGCGCTGTGTGGGATGCGGCCTCCCACACTGCTGGCCAGTGCGGTCACCAGTGCGAATGACGTACGTGCAGGTAAAGCCACGCTGCGCATACCACTCACGGGCGGCCTGAAGCGACGGGGCGGGCTGCTGACTCTGTCCACCGCCAGCGCCTCCACGACCACCACCGCCGCCGCCACCGCCCCGGCCACCTCCACCCCTGCCGCCGCCACGACCACCTCCGCCTCCGCTGCCGCCTCCGCCCCTGCCACCGCTCCCGCCGCTGCTGTCACCACCCCCACTGCCGCCACTAGCCTCTCCAGTCCCACCGCCACCCCCACCGCCACCACTCCCGCCTCCCCCGCCGCCACCTCCACCCTTGCCCCCTTTGCCCCTGCGGCGCCCGCTCGGAGCAGACGCAGCCCCGACCTTCTCAGCACCAAGGAGGTCGACAGCAGCAGCAGAGGCGACAGAGGGGAGGAGAGGGGAAGGGGAACACCCCTCAAAGAACGGGGTGCGGGGGTCGCCACGAGAGGTGCCTACAGCGACGATGCTCGCCTCAGCTGCAAGCAATTCCTTCTCGAGGAGGGCAATGGTGAGCTCAGTGGGAGAGCGAGCGAGGAAGTGATCCCTGACTGCGCGCAGAGAGTCAGGGAGGCGGGTGACGATGTGGTAGAGCGTGATCCAGAGCGGGGGGGGGTTGCTGGCAAGGAACTCGTCAGGCATAGCAGCGCGAAAGCGGGCCTCACTGGTCCTGAGGTGGGTGATGAGGTCAGCGACTGTGCTGAAGGAGGCCAGGTCGGGGAACAGGTAGGGGAGGGTGAGGCGGCCTAGTGCGGCAGAGGCAGGTGAGGAGTAACGAGCAACTACAGCAGTGTACAGGTCCTTAGCAGTCTTGTGCTGGCCAAAGTGCTCGCGCTCATCTAGTGGCAGGGAGTTGCGAATAGCGAAGCGAGCGTGGGCGTCACGAGTCTGCCACTGTGAGCGCTGAGTGCTGTCTGCAGTGGTAGGAGGGGCAGTAGCGTGACCGAGGGCATGATCGTACAGCGAAATATCCTCCTTGGCAGTGAGCTGTAGGAAGAGGTGCAGGTCATCTAGCCAGGTGTCAAATTTCACTGGGCGGCCCTCAGCATCGAAAGCAAGTACGGGAGGACTGGCCATAGTGGCAGCAGTAGTTGCAGTAGGAACAGTAGTAGTAGCCGTAGAAGAAATAGGAGGAGCAGCAGTATCGACGGGGCTGCTGGTACGGGCGGCGCGGCTCGGTCGGGCGGCGCGGCTCGGTTCAGGTAGGGCGGCGCGGCTCGGTTCGGGTGCGCGGAGCTGTTAAGCGGGGCTCGACGGGGCCGAGGGGCCGCTAAGCGGGGCGCAGGAGGGTCGCGGGGCCGTGAGGTGGCGGGCGACGGGGCCACGGGGCCGCTAAACGGGGTGCGCGCGGGGCCGCGGGGCCGCGGGGCCTCTAGTTGAGGGTCGACGGGGCCGCGGGGCCGCTAAACGGGGTGCGCGCGGGGCCGCGGGGCCTCTAGGTGTGGGGCGACGGGGCCGCGGGGCCGCTAAACGGGGTGCGCGCGGGGCCGCGGGGCCTCTAGGGTGGGTCGACGGGGCCGCGGGGCCGCTAAACGGGGTGCGCGCGGGGCCGCGGGGCCTCTAGGGTGGGTCGACGGGGCCGCGGGGCCGCTAAACGGGGTGCGCGCGGGGTCGACGGGGCCAAGCGGGCCGGAATCGGGGCGCGCGCGGGTGCGACGGGGCCACTAAGGGGCAGCGTGCGGGGTCGACGGGGCCTTAAGGGGCCGTACACGAGGGCGCACGAGGGCGCTGAGGGGGAGGCGCTAACGCAGCACTCCGACAGTAGGTAGGAAGTAGGTAGTAGAGGTGGGCCCGGAAAAAAAAACTTAGGTCCTAGCGAAGGACCTGCTCTGAAACCATGTCAGAATAACTGAACGAGGAATGAATGAACTAGCAGTGAAACGAGTACAAGTACCTAACCCTAGAATTGTGTACCCCCTATAGGCTAACCCACTGTAGCCTAAACAAGCACAACACATATAATGTTTGACACCATTAGCCGACTCTGATTTACCCTGTCTGTTGCTTGGTACAGGCTTTTCAAGTGGTTGTATGCAAGCTCGGCGGAGTTGCCGTAACCCCGGTAAGACCGTATATTCTGCTGCTGAGTCGGTGTGATGTTTCTCAGTAGGATCGTATACGCCATCATCGACTGATATGTGTACTGCTGCTTCTCGTACTGTGTGCCGTTTGTTGGGTATGGCAGGGACCCGTCGAAGAAGCCGAGGATTTGCGCGCCTTCCATCATCAGCTCGAACTCGAACGACCAGGTGAAGAAGTCCTTTCCGTCGAAAGGTCTTGATGTCTGCAGTTTCAGAACGTGTGCGAACTGCGACTGAACTTGTAACGCGTCCAGTGGTTTCTCTTGTCCAGGTGAAGGCTGCGGGTGCGGCATGAAGCTGATGGACCCGCGTTCGTACGGAGCAAAGGTAGGTTGCTGCTGTTGATTTCCGCGCGCGTATGATGAGCCATCGAGACTCATGGGAGTCACTTCGTTGTTGTTGCTGTTGTGTGACTGTGCAGGTCCCGACTGCTGGTGTTGCTCGTAGAAGGACATGAAGGAGAAGAACTTCTCCATCATGCTCTGGTCGAAGCTGGCAGGTTGTCTTGCGGGAGTCTCGGCAGATGTTGCTCTTGGTCTAGCTGCCGTGCCCTCCTCTGTCTGTAGGCCAAAGGCATGAGGTGGAGTAGGAGTAGTGCCCTGGGAGCCGTTAGAGGAGCTCCTTTCCTTTTGTGTTGCCATGTCTTGTGATGTTTCTGATGTCTTGATAGTAGTTGAGTTCTCCTTGTGAGCTCTCATACCATGTTGGGCTGAGAAAAAGCCCTTAGGATCTTTGCAGGGGTGAACTCTGGGTAGGAACAATGTAATAGCGGAAGCGTTTAATGAAGAGGTTGAACCACCTTGCGCTAGTGTGTGAGGGCAAAGTAGATTGATTAAAACAAGGAGATACAAGATTACCTATGTAAGAGTACAAGGAATATGAAAAGATACAGTTATAACTACTTTACTGTTGCTGTTGCGGTTCGATACAGTGACGACTCGGGCAACTGCTTTGTAGCGAGTCAGCTGTGTGTCCTTGCTGTCGCGCTGCACTTGTCAGGTCAAAGGTCGCTGACCTTTGACTTTCGCGTAACCTCCAGCAGATATTTCAAACCTCCGAGGGTTGACTCGCCGATGCTTCGGTACGCTTTGCTTCGCTTGTGTTTAGACATGACAGAGGCGCTTTAGATTGATTGTTTCCAACATAAATTACGCCGCGTAATCCACAACAGGTACATATGGTTCCGTAAATGGTCCTGCTTAAATCAGCAAAACCTGGATTCCATATGACAAAAGGCAGCCGACATCCATTGCGCAAGCATAGTATTTCAAAAGCTACATGAGTTCTCAAGGGACTAAAACCAGACTCTTATGGTACAACCAACCATACTCAGTCACCCTCTCCCTCCCCCCTTCCTCTACCCACCAAGCCATCCCCTTGGTGCTGCAAGCGTGCGCCTCCTTCATCATGAACACAATCATACAATGCTCTCTGCTATGCAAAGAGAACGGGCAAATGGAGGGCAGGCCACAGCATAAGTGACATGAGAAAGCAGACAATAAAGGAAGATCAGAAAGTGACATGTGGGTTGATCATGGGCGTATGTGGGTGGTGGAGGTGGCGGGAGTGGACTAACTGGCTGCACCGGCTTGAAAGAGAGCAAGGCACAAAGCAGAGCATGCAGTTACCCCTCTTCCTTACGTGTGGATTTGTTCTTCACCATTTGAAAGCCCTGCTTGCACTGACACACCGACTTTCCTCCCACCCACGTGCACTGGGCATTAGAAGTGCATGCAGGCTTGCATTTGGCTGGCGGCGTTGGGAGGTGGGGGGAGGGGGAGAAGGGAAAGAGAATAAGGCTGGGTGGGGCAGCAGGTGGAGAGAAAGGGAGCGAGTGGCTTGGAAGGAGGGGGAGCATTATGTTGACACAAAAGCACCACAAGCTTGAGGAACAAGGATGATTCTCTATTGCTGGCAAGCAACAAGGCACCTACGAGGGGGAGGAACGAGGCAGAGCTTCTTGGCTGCGTTGAACACGAGGCCCTCGGGGCACTGGCACTGCGACTGACCCCAATTCACAACGCACTCAGCAGCTCCACACTCCTTGTGGCACGTGGCTGTTGTGGGCACCACAGTGTGTGGAAGTACAAGGAGAAGTTTGGATGTGTGTCTGGCATTCTTTTGCCATGTCTCTCCTGTGCCATTGACCTCGTAGAGATGAGCAAAATACATATAAGCGTGATTGAGACCTTCTGTGATATGAAAAAGAAAACACTTCAGGCAAAGTGAAAATGCCCCAAGCGTAATGTGCATGCGCTAGCGCTTACTGATCTCGCAGCCAATTGATCGCGGTGACTCGGATGCTCTGACAGCCCTGAGAGGAGGAGAGGTAAAGATAGGAAAAACCAGCACTGAGGACAAATGAAAACACTTCACGAATGGCCAAGCAAACTCTGGTGAGCAAAGAGCGTCTTTCCACACTTCACTGCCATGCGTCACGCACGCTCACACACCTTTTCGTGACGGGGTAGGACCGCCCTTTATTTGCCGGGCGATCGATGGCCAAGCCCGGATGGCCCGAGCAGTCCGGGCCAGAGTAGCCCGTGAGGCTCCTGCACATGCCCATGCCGGCCGCTTCCACGCTCGCATCATCCCACACCACCGTCACCTTGGCGCTGCCTGCAGCGGTGGAGCTCACGTTGATGCACGTGATGCTGCTGGTGAGCTGCTCTGCCGGCATGGAGATGGGGAAGGTGAGCTCCGTCCTGGCCTTGGCCTTCGGCCAAAGCAGCTGCACCGTCGTCTGCAGCTTGGGGCCTGAACGCTCGTTGGGACCGTTGAGACCGTTGAGACCGTTGGGACCGTTGACGCGATGTTTGGTGCGACGATGCCGTATCATGGCCGGTAAAGGTTGTGTGGGGATGATGGGGGTTCAAAGGCGTCGAGTTGGATGCAGGACACGGGAAAGGAGAGGACGTGGGAAGGCAGGGCGGGAAGACACAGGAGGAGTGAGGAGAACGAAACCACGCCAACAGTCTGGTGGAACGCTTTCAAGCGAAGAGCCTCTCAACACAGCCTCTCAGCGTTGCCTCTCAGCTAAAGTGTGTTTCACTCAAGAAATGTATCGTCTATAGCCTACCAGAGCAGCACTCACCAAAGCACGTCTTGTCTGGTTCGTAGAAGTCAAATTCCTCATTGACGCACGCGCAGCCAAGGGTGCCATCATCACGGAAATAGCAATCAGCAGAGTCGCCGCAATCCCTGTCACACTTGGCCACTGCAGTTGAAGTGATGGGGCACAGGGGCAAAGGGGTGAGACGCTTGGCTCTAGAGTGAAGCAGGGCAAGGGGGTAGACGACTCGACTCTTGCTGATGGTTGTGAACTTACCCCACACGCACACTCAGCCACACACGCACACACTCAAAACACACACGCACCCTCACTCACACACTCACCCACACACACGGGCACTTACACACACACACACACGTCTTGTTGTCTTCAATAAATTTATAACCAAGTGTCGCAGAGGCACTTGGCAGTGCCATCACGGTACTGCCAGTGGTGTGCGGCAGTCAGTGGTGTGCGGCAGTCAGTGGTGTGTGGCAGTCAGTGGTGTGCGGCAGTCAGTGGTGTGCGGCAGTCAGTGGTGTGTGGCAGTCAGTGGTGTGTGGCAGTCAGTGGTGTGTGGCAGTCAGTGGTGTGTGGCAGTCAGTGGTGTGTGGCAGTCAGTGGTGTGTGGCAGTCAGTGGTGTGTGGCAGTCAGTGGTGTGTGGCAGTCAGTGGTGTGTGGCAGTCAGTGGTGTGTGGCAGTCAGTGGTGTGTGGCAGTCAGTGGTGTGTGGCAGTCAGTGGTGTGCGGCAGGCAGCCTGCTCACCTTGAGCGCTGGCGAGGGTCGCGAGGAAGCTGATGGCAACGACACCCGCGACGAGTGCGGCGAGGCCGACGCGAGACACGCGGCCGGCGTTGGGCGTCATGGCGACAGCGGACGGACCGGGGTAATGCGAAGGCTGAGATCACAAGTCGGGGCTTTTGAGGCGAATCAAACGGCGGCCTTGGGAAACGGGAAGTCTGGGATCAAGATGACGTCGCGATGGCGTCAGCTTGGCGTCAGTTTGGGTAGTCAAGTGCCGACAGGTCCGAGGTGAATCGCCAGATCGGGGTAACGCCAAGTCGGATCTTTTGAGGCGAATCAAACGGAGGCCCGAGGAAACGGGAAGAGAGCGATCACGATGACGCCACGATGGCGATAAGCTCCAGGTACTGTCGGGCCGAGTTCCGTGAGGTTCCTAGTTCCGCGAGGTTCTAACTTCCGCGGAGGTTCCAAGTTCCGCGATGGCCCGAGTTGAACCGCGGGAATAGCGTCGGGTCGCGACGAGGTGGGATCGGGTGGGACCTCGAAGGTGCGATTGAAAAGTTGCGAGTGAGAAGGGAGGTACGCAATGAGCGACGAGCGGCGGCGGTCGGAGAGTGCGACTGAGCCCTCGCGGAAGCGAGCGTCGATTTATGTGCTGAGAGCTAATGGTTGCACGAGTTGAATAATTCTTCATTGCGGAAGTCGCGGGAGGAGGAGGGGAGGAGGGGAGGAGGGGGTGAGGGGGTGAGAGGAAACTCAGGGGGATCGCCGGTGCGCCGAGGCCCGGAAACGCGCATTCGGTGGAGCCTAGGACTAGTCGATGATGGCGTTGGGTTAGCGAGAAGGTCGAGCAAGGATGTGGCGACTCTCGTCATGGTGGGCTCAAGCGGGATGAACGCGAATGGACGCGGGGCGGCGATGACGGGGAGGAAAGCGTTGCGCATGCGGCTAGTGAACGCGGCGAGGATTCAAACTCCGCCCAGCGGGGCCCAAGGCAGAGAAGCTTCCGCCTCTGGTAGTACCAGTAGCCTGCTCGAGTGCAGAGTTGCGAGAACTGCGGGACTCGCGGAGAAGGAAAAAACGGGTTACTTAGACCAGGTCGTATTCGTTCGTTCAGAGTTCGTTTAGCGCGATTCAGTATGGTGATTGACCTCCCAACGTTACGGCGACCCGGTCGTTTCGACATCCGCTGCATCGCACAGCACACAATGTGAAAGATTAGGAACCGCATTGCACCGCGGCTATAGGCGAAGAAGCAAAAGTGGTTCCACCACGACCATCAAATCACAACTCTCGCATGGTACCTCGGTCTAATATGGCGGGTTTAGGGTTAGATCCAGTACCATGATTTACCGTGTATAATCTCACTGCACCTCAACGGCTTCATTTGTGTCATTCGCGTTCCTTCCTGCTTTCCAGATTCCACCCGCCGTGCTTTCTGCCGTGGCTTGGCTTCAGGAACGATTGGCTCGAGCACGCTTCGAACGCGTCACACTGCATTATAGCTTTCTCAGATCAGCCAATCGTAGCTCGCCTCACTTTTCTCGCCTAGAGTTGCTGTTATTGAGTTGCGGCCAATGACAGGTCGGACATGGCAAGCGTATTTTGATTCGACGCCGACAGAGGCGCTCGCCGGACTTATTGATGGTTCGCGATAACATGCGCCTCGATTCACCTCCAAATTCGATTTCGATAATCGTCCGGCTGAGATTGCTTTGCGGAATCTCCTGTCCGTCAATCTCTACCTTCAACGTCGGGTCTTTCTGGTTCTTCCATACTCTCAACGTGACTCTAAATTAGGGTAATTCCAGTCCCTGGAATATCATCCAGTTCTGAATTCCGTCTTCCTCCTTACTGGAAGCAGTAACTTGCTCCCTCTTGCAAACCGATTTCTTGTTCTCTTTACTCATGGCCTTCATTCGTGCTCGCTGCGTCTTACTGTTTGGTAAGCGGCGTTACCCCTGCCGTGAGTTCGCAGCACCAATGCCAGCTCAATCCAAACTCATTGCTTGCCATGTGTCAACCTGGTATCGTAACCCGATCGCTGATTTCGTCTCAAGTTGTGTGTGTGCTTCGTGCAGCTTTCCTTGCGGCAGCGCTGGTGGCGGTTGCATACGCCAAGAAGAATCCTGTTTCTAGAAAAATTCCCCCCGTTTCTTCTGGTCAGTTCAGAATTCCAGGTTGGATGCACGAATTATTTCCTCCTTATGAACACCATATGTCCCCCGTGGATTTCTATGTCACACCAAACTCCAAAGGCGCATGACTGCTCCAACCTGAACCGCCAAGCTCCAGTTCCATCTCCACCATCCCTTCCCACTGTCCCCTACCCCCCTCCTCCCCTCCCCTTCCGCCTTGATCTTCCCTCCTCTCCACCTCCCCCCTCGGTTTCTCTTTCAACAGGCGCCTTTAATGCCACCCTGCTTGGCGTGCTCGAGGTTCCCAATAATGACACTGAAGCTGCCCGGAAAGCCATAAACGACGAATATGGATGGGCGGAAATGGGATTGATTATCCACAAGTGAGTTCAGGTCTGAATCCCCTGCCGTTCTAACAGCATGTTAGAGGAACCAATGGGGTGCTCTGGTGATACCAAAAGTCTCCTTCTGTTGTTCAAAGATCAGCTCCGTTATGAGATTCTCACCCAACCCAACCCTGTGATAACGTGTTCCGGGATTAACCCCCATTTCTCTGGTGTGATATGCAGGGAAAACGGCCAGCCAGTGTGGCTCGAGTATACAGTAGCAGCCTTTTCCTTGTCGATGCCGGTTGTAAACGGCTATGATGATTGGACGGATATATGCCCGATCATCATGACTCATGTGCACAAGGCAACAGAGGGATCAAACGGTCCCATAGTGTTGGATCTGCCGTGCAAGTATATACGCGTGGACCCGTTTAATTTCACCCCCTGCGAATGCAATGGCGTTCTTGGGAAGAATGTTGCGGAACGGACAGAGACATTTGTGTCGACTCTCAAGGAGATTGTAAAGAATCCAAGTGGGTTCTATGGGAACATTCACACCGTGAGGTTCCCTGATGGCGGAATGCGCGGGCAGTTTGAAAATTTTAAAGCCCGTGGTCAGCATGGTAAATTTCCAAGTTATGTGGATTTGAAATAGGGGGTAGGTGAGGGTGTGCGAAACGTATTTCGATTGTGTGGCTGAGGCGAGAATTAGGTTCCTCCACGAGCAATATAGCATTTCGCGCACACCAAACCAGCGACACCCACCGACCCTGTGCGAAAAGTGAGTCGCATAAACAGACACTCTATCCAATCCGAAGCATTCACACTCTTACGAATAACACAGTAAGCGTGGATGCATGCAGTAGAAGTCTCCCCCCCACCACTGACTCAACTCCACTGCACTAACAACACCACCTACTCAGACTGATATCGATAGTTCGTGCGAGGCTCACCTCAAATCACTGACTCAACGACCATCTCAGAAGCTATCAACAACACTACTATCAATAGGTGTGTGGGAACGTGCACGCGCGTTACGAACATTCGGGAAGAAGTGGTGTTGAGGAAGCATTAGTTCAGACGCGCGAACAATAGAAGAACGAGGTCGCGATTCGGGCCACTGAAATCGGACACAGGGCGATGAGCATAGCGCTCAACGGGCGAAGGTACAGACCGCGCGACTGTCACACGTGTAGAGCCGCGCACGACGCGAGTCCCAAGCACACGCCCCGGGCGCCGAGCAGGACCCGCTCTCGACATCGCGTTCCTGGCGACGCGCAGCGCCCTCACCAGGCTACGGGCAGCGTGCGCACTGGGTGACGAGCAGCCTGTGACCGCGCGACGATCAACGGTGGAGCCCGGGCGACGAGCAGCGCGCGGTGCTGGCGACACGCAGATCACGCTCCATCCGCCCCTGCTTCCCCTCCTTTCCGCCCCTGCTTCCCCTCCTTTCCGCCCCTGCTTCCCCTCCTTTCCGCCCCTACTTCCCCTCCATCAGAAAAATGTGAAACTGCCGAGTATTGGGGGGGGGGGGGGGAGGGGGTCATTTTCCGTGTTGGAGGCTGGTGGTATTCGATGATCGATGACGTGAAATCTGGTGTACCGCTTTTCCCGGCAGTTAACCATCGTGTGCGCGGGGATTATTCCTGCTGATTGTCGACTTCCCTTCTTGACCTTTACGACCACCCCGATGAATCGGGATATATTTCTGTTTACCTCGTTTCGCAGATGCGCACAGAACACGTGGACGACATTTCTGTCGAGCGTTTTCATTGGTCAGCGTTTTCAGACAGATATGAGGATAGATCGGGAGCAGGGCTGTCGATTCAAGGGCATATGGCCTTAATGCCCTGAACATTAAGGTCTGACTTTGCCCCAAAGTCCAGATTCTCAGGGTTGATTTTTTGTACAGCCCGGAATGATAACGGGCGTGGGCTGGGCCTTCCCCTGATTCTTACAGGGGCCTCTTGGAGGGTTTCCCTGATTCCCCGCGGAAGTTTACGGCCCTACTCGGAAAAGTTCCACAGCCCTTCCCCCTCCCCCCCCCTCCCACCCCCCCACCCTCCCATCCCGTTTTTCCCTTACCATCCCATCCCATCCCTTTCTATCCCAGTTTGCCGCCAAGTCAGATGTTATCGGCTGGCTGGCTTTTCTAGGCAGACATGGGATAGGTGTGCTCTTAGCAATGTTAGGCTGTCTGATACTTTGACCGTGAAAATGCTAGATTACGACGTGGACTGGGCATGTACCAGATCTTCGACGGGGAGAAGCGCCGCAAGCCTGCCACATAGTTCTTAGTGTTGAGAAAGTAGCTAGGTAGATAGCAGTTCTAAAATAACTCTGCCTGATTAGTTTACGTTATATAGAGTTTGCTCTGATTGTTGAGTGTAGCCCTGAATTTAAGTTTTTGGTTGGGTGCTTTCCCGGACGCTTAAAGGCTCGAAAAGGGACACATTGTGAAAGCTTGCGATTTGCCTTGCAAATGCAACGTCTCATTTCAACTGGCAAGTACAAGATTTTTTATCGTCCAAGCATATTACATAGTAACAACATTCAGAGCTATCATGTATGTTATGCTAGGGTGGGAGGATGGGAAACTTGAAATTGAAAGTTCGAAATGAAAACGTGGGTGAAGGCCAAATGGCCTTCGCCCCCTCTTTTGTACCAAAAAGAGGGGAAGTAGCGGTTCGCCGAAGCCTTTGCTTCGGTACAACTCGCTTCGCTATTCACAATACACAATTTTGAAAAGTGTTACACACTTTAAAAAATTTACATATTGTGAAAGCTTGCGATTTGCCTTGCAAATGCAACGTCTCATTTCAACTGGGTTTTCTGAGACATGTGGAGAGAAGGTTGACGGTGCCTCGTGATGGCGTGATGATGCTGTGAGGGGGACGGTGCGTGAGCTTGATCCTGAAAGTTACGAGATGCTGCAATAAGATGATCCTGCGAGATAGTCACGTATAGGTCCTTCGCTGTTTCGCTTCGCCAGCGCCCAAGGCGTTTGAAGATGCGATCCGGGACTCCCGCACTAGCTGCGACGGTGGCTGCTCCTTTGTGAAAAGAGTGGGTGCCGAGGTGTGTTGGGTCGATTCCTGCGGCTTCGAATGCCTGCATGCACCATGCACGGATTGTGGGGTATGATGGGGCTTTATCTAATGGGGACGGCTGTGCATTGCGGCGGAAGATACGTATCAGCGGCCCTCTGGTTGTCGGCCCGTATTCCGCTAGCCTGATGAAATGGCGGGTGCACCGCACCGGGCAGAGCGGTCCATCCGACGTAGCGACGGGGACCCACACGCCCTTGCCTTCCTGGTCTGTCTTCGAGTGTGGGATCAGAAGCCACATTGCCGTTGCCTCAAATTGGATGTCCTCCCATTGGATTGCCACTAGATCTGAGAAACGCAGGAATGCAGCGTACATGAGCAGTACGATGAGGCCTTTCTTATAGATGCCCGGTTGGCTCGATTGGAGAAAAGGCCTAGCCATCGCGTGGACCTGATGAAGGGAGACGGGTTCCTTCACCCGTGCTGGTCGGGGGCAGTGTCTTTTGGCGTAATCGCGCACTTGTGTCGTGAAAGGGCCCCATGTTGGGTTGGCGGAGCCTGTCATCCTATGGGCGAAGCTGATCGCGACACAGGTGAGCTGCACGCTAGAGACGGTCGCCTTGTGGTTGACCGCATGTACGAGGTAGAGTGCTACTGTTAGGTCCGCAGCGGGAAGAAATGCCACTTTCGCTTTGACGCAAAAATTCCTAAACTTCT